ACCTTGTGATCTGCATACCTTGGTCTCCCAAAGTGCTGGGATTACAGGCGTGAGCTATCATGCCCAGCCTCTTTCATCTATTTTAAAAAAATTTTTTTTTTTTAGATAGGGTCTTAGTTTGTCACCCAGGCTGGAGGACAGTGGCATGCTCATGGCTCACTACAACCTTGAACTTCCTGGGCTCAAGTGATCCCCTCACCATAGCCTCCTGAGTAGCTGGGACTACAGATGCACATGACCATGACCAGTTATTTTTTTTTTTTTAATTTTTTTTTTTCGTAGAGACATGATGTTGCCATGTTGCCCAGGCTGGTCTCAAACTCCTTGACTCAAGCAATCTCCCCACCTTGGCCTCCCAAAGTGCTAAGACTACAGGCATGAGCCGTCACACTCAGCCATTTTAAATATGTGAAGTGGGGTTTAACTTCATTCTTTTGCATGTGACTATCCACTTGTCCCAGCACCATTTGTTAAAAAGACTGTTTTTCCCCATTTAATGGACATGGCACCTTTGCCGAAAATCAGTTGACTACAGATATTTGGGTTTATTTCTGGAATCATCATTTTTAAAAAAAATTAATACAACGATCTATGTCTATCCTTATGCCAGTAACAATTAATTACTGTTGTTTTGTAATTCAGAATGAGGAAATGTGAATTTTTCTTATTCTTTTTCAGGATTGCTTTGGCTATTCTAGGTCCCTTGAAATTTCATATAACTCTTAGCATCAGCTTGTCAACTTCTGCAAAGAAGTCAGCAGAGATTCTGATAGGGATTATGCTGAATCTGTTGGTAAGTTTGAGAAATATTGTTATCTTAACAGTATTAATGCTTCTGATCCATTAATATAGGATGTTTTTCCATTTATTTAGGTCTTCTTTACTTTCTGCAATGTTTTGTAGTCTTCAGAGTATAAGTTTGGCATTTTTTGTTAAATATGTTATTAAGCACCTTGTTCTTTTTGATGCTGTTATGAATAGTCTTAATTTCATTTTTGACTATTCATTGCAAATGTGTAGAAATATAATTTATTTCTAAATATTGATCTTGTATCCTGCCATCTTGCTGAACTCGTTTATTAGTTTCAACAGTTTTTTTCAGGAGATTCCCTGGGACTTTCTACATATAAGATCATGTTATTTGTGAACAGAGTTTTTCTTCTTCCTTTCCAACCTAGATGCCTTTTTTTCCTTCTTGCATAATTGCAATGGCTAGAACCTCCAGTATAATGTTAAATAGAAGTGTGATAATGGGCATTCTTGTCTAATTCATAATCTTAGGGGGAAAGCATTCAGTTTTTCACAATTAAGTATAAAGACAGCTGTAGATTTTCGTAGATGCTCTTTATCAGATTAAAGTAGTTTCCTTTCATTCCTAGTTTTTTGACCATTTTTTATCATGAAGGGGTGTTGGATTTATTCAAATGCACTTTTTTTTGCATCAATAGAGATTTTTAATATATTGATAAATGTATTACATCGATTTTCACATGTTAAGCCAATCTTATATCCCAGGGATAAATCCTACTTGGTAATGATGTATAATTCTTTTTATACATTGCTGGATTTGGTTAGCTAGCATTTAGTTTAGGATTTTTGCATGTGTTTCATCAGACATATTGGTCTGCAGTTTTCTTGTGGTATCTATGAGTGTTTTCGGTGTCAGGGTAATACTGGGAAATACTCCCTCCTATTTCTTGACAGAGTTTGAGAATAATTGCTATTATTTCTTTGATTGTTTGGTAGAATACAGTGATAAAACTGCCTGTGCCTGGGCTAGTCTTTGTAGGCAATTTTCTGATTCCTGCTGTTCACCTGCTATAGGTGTATTCAGATTGCCCATTTCTGTAAGGTTGCTGGTAGTGTCTACCCTTTTATATCAGATCCTAGGAATTTGATTATTGTCTTTTTATTGGTCGATCTAGCAAAATATTTGTCATATTTACTGATCTTTTCAAAGAACCAGTTTCTAGTAATATTTTCTCTACTGTTTCTCTATTCTTTATTTCATTAGTTTCCACTCTATTATTTCCTTCCCTCTGCTTGCTTCAGGTTTAGTTTGTTCTTCTTTCTTCAGTGACTTAAGGTAAAAGGAAGGTTACTGCTTTATTTCTTCCTCTTTAATACAGGCATTTACACCTATAAATTTCCCTTTAAGACTGTTTTAGCTACATCCATATAGTTTGTGTCTTCATTTTCATCAGTCTCAAAGGACTTTCTGATTACTTTCTTTTCTTCTTTGGCCCATTAGTTATTTAGTAGTGTGTTGTTCAATTTCCTAATTGTGAGTTTTTCAAATTTTCCAATTTTTTTTATTTCTAATTTAATCCTGTGATTATGATCACAAAATGCACTTTGCATTATTTCTATCCTTTTAAATGTATTGAAGTTTCATGGCCTAGCATAAGGCCTATCCTGAAAAATGTTCCCATGAGCATTTGAGAATGTATATGCTGTAGTGCTTGGGAGAAGTGTTCTATAGATGTCTGTTGGGGCTAGTTGGTTTATAGTGTTGGTCAAGTCTTCTATTTCATTGTTAATCTTCTGCCTAGTTCTGTCCTTTATTGTAAATAGGTTACTGGAGTCTCCAATTATTATTGTGGCCATTTTCTTCCTCCATTTCTGCCAGTTCTTGCTTCCTGTGTTTTGATACTGTTAATAATTTCATATATATGTTCACAACTGTTATGTCTTTTTGATGGGTTAACATTTTTATCATTATAAAATGTCTAGGAGTATTTTTGTCTTAAAGTCTACGTTGTCTGACACGAGTATAGCCAATCCAGTTTTCTTATGGCAATTGTTTGCATGATTTCTTTTCCTATCCTTTTAATCAATCTATTTGTGTCTCTGAACCTAAAGTGTGTCACCCATAGATAACAAAGAGTTGGGCTGTATTTTTCTAATCCAATCTGACAGTCTCTGCCTTTTGATTGAATTAATTCATTAACATTTATTATTGATAAATTGAATACATTGCTTTTTGTTTTCTATATGTTCCATTATCTTTTGTGTTCTTTTCATCCTCTTTTACTATTGCCTTTTGCATCAAGTGAGTATTTTTTAAGGTAGTATTTTAATTTTATTAATAATTTTCAACTATATTTCTGGAGTTACTTTCTTAGTGGTTGCTCTAGGGTTTACCATATACATCTTATCAGAATCTATTAGAATTATACAAGCTTAACTCCAATAATATACAGAAGCTTTACTCCTACATAGCTATGTTCCCTTATCCCTTTTTTTGTGATATTTTACTTATACATATTGCATCTATTAATGTTCCAAATCCAACACATTGTTATAATTATTACCTCACCATCTGCCATCATTTCATTAGTCTATTACAGCTTTATTCCCAGCCACCTCCTTTGTGCTGTTTTGACAAATGTTACACATGTATGACACTGCTGTATGTTATAGCCCAACAATACATTATATATATACTATTTGATATAGTTGCATTTTGAATCAGTTTTGAGAAGAAAAATATGCATTTATACATTTATGTGACTTTTATAATCATAAAATTGCTTTCACTGGTGCTCTCTGTGTGGACATGAATTACTACCTAACATTACCTGCTTTCAGCCTAAAGAACTTCCTTTAATACTTATTAGACAGGTCTATTAACAACAATTTTTCTGTTTTTGTTTATCTGGGAAAAGTATTTCACTTTCATTTTTGAGTAATATATTTCTGAATATAGAATTCTTGGTTGACAGTTTTTTTTTTCTGTGAGCACTTTGACTGTTATATCTACCTTTTGGCCTGTATTATTTCTTCTGAGAGGTCAGGTGTTAATTTTGTTCCCTAAATGATGTATCTTTTTTCACTCACTACTTTCAAGGTTTTCTCATATTTAATTTTAGCATTTTTTACAATATGTGTCTGTGAATCCCTCTGCATTTATCATGCTGAGAGTTCACTAAGCTTCCTAGATGTTTTCCGGTCAACTTGGAGAGTTTTCAGTCATTATATCTTTAAATATTTTTTTCTTTTTCTTCTGCCTTTCTTGTACTCTCACTACATGCACACTTAATGGTCTTAATGGTGCTTCATATGTCTCTGAGGTTTTGCTCATTTTTCATTCTTTTTTCTCTCTGTTCTTTAGATAGCATATCTCTCTTACTCTATCTGCCAGTTGGCTGACAATTTCTTCTGCCAGTTCAAATCTACTACTGAGCCCCTTTAGTGCATTTTTTGTTATTATACTTTTTAACTTCATGAATTTAGCTCTTGCCACTTGGAACTGGAGGTCATTAAGAAATGCTGGTATCTTGGCCCTCCTTGTGATGTACCATACCCCTGAACAGGGAGCTGAGGGAGAGGGAGTTCTATCTTCTTGGCTCCACCCGCTGAAATGGGAGAGAGAGGGCAGGTATTATGGCTGAAGTGTCAGATTCACTGTTCTTACCAAGATTTGGATTTTCTTGAATAAGTGTTACTTTATTCTACATGCTTTTAGGACAATTTTGGGAGACATTAAGTGTGTGTGTGTCTCAGTATAAGAAGGAGATGTTTATTTTTTGTTACAATTTTCACCAGTTATAGCTAATTCCTAGGATAGTGGATCCACAGGGCCCTTCACATTGCTATTCTGGAAGTGAAAGTCTAAAGGATATTTCAATGTTAGAAAACTTAACTGTGTACTTTACTACACTAAGAAAAGCTATACAATTATATCAATATATACCAGAAAAGATTTTGAGGATAATCATTTTACCATTTTGTGATAACCAATTGTGACATCACAATGATAAAAACAGTGGGTTACTAGCAAAGTTAGATAAATGGACCAATTTAACAGAATGCAGAGCCAAGAAAAATTCCGATAAATTATATGAAAATTGGTAAAGGTGGCCTTATACATCAGGAGGAAATTAATAAAATATTTTTTTAAAGGTGCTAGCTATTTACATGGGATTAGCAGTTTATGAGAACGTATTCATGACCTTAGGTAGGGAATGGTTCTTAAATAAGGATACAAAAAAAAAATGGAAAGACTGAATTTACTATATTTTAAAACTTCCATATGATAAACATCACAAAGTAGACACACATAAATATGCTAATTCTCCATATTTTTATATAAAAGTTAAAGATTCACAACCAAAACTAAAAATCTATAAAAACACCTAGGAATAAGACTATTATGCAATGTGCAAGACATTTATGAAGAAAGTTATGAAAATTTCATCCAGAATATAAAAGACTTTAATAAAATAAGGCCTATCACAATACTAATGGGAAACATTATATTAATTATAAAGAAGTCTATTATTCTCAAATTAATGTGTAAACAAATGCAATCCTATTCAAAAGAACACAACAATTTTACTGGAATTTAATAAACTAATTCTTGATTCAGCTGGAACAGAAAACACAAAAGAATTAGACACTGAAGAGGGGGAGAAAGGAAAGGGAGCTTGCCCATGAATAGCAAAACAATGCAAAGCACAAATGACAGTGTGAAGACTGTGGTTGGTAGAAAAAACACCTGGATCAACTGGTCAGAAATAACTTAGCATGTGATGGGTTGAAAGCTGACATTTCAAACTGGTGGAGAAAAGAGTATTTGTTGATCACGGGAATAACTGCCTTTTTGTTTAGGGGAGCAATCCTAAAAGATAAAAAACCCACAGGAAAAGTAGGCAAGTATAACACAAATAGGCAATGTATGGTAGAGATCTACAAACGGCCAATAAATATGGAAATATTTGATTTTATAAGTAATCAGGGAAATTCAAGTGAAAACAAGATATTTTCAATCATGAGATTGGTTAAAACAAAACAAAACAACCTACCAATACTGATACCACTTACTGTTGTCAAGGATTGGAGGAATGGGTCCTTTTGTGGATGGTTAATTGAAGGAAGCAATTCTGCCACATCCACTGACATTTAAAATCTACATCATTAATCCAACAATTCTATGCAGGCAGAGCTATACTTACAGGAATAAAAATGTCTTGCATAGAATATTAAATGAAAAGTTAGTTGCAAAATAAGAATGTTATAACCCCATTAATATCAATTACATCTATAAAGCAAACTAGTTGCTGTAACAGACAGACTTCAAAAGACAGTAGTTTAAGCAAGTCAGTATTTTATTTTACTCTTAAATAACAGGTCAAAGGATAACAGTTCAAGACTGGCAAGCCAACTTCTCCTTCCTCAACACATGACTTCCATCTCTTGAGATGCCAGGTCACTATTGAAGCTCCCACTGGCCTCCCAGACAGCAAGAAAGCAGAATGTCAAGGAGAGTGCATACCTTGCTTCTTTATTTAAGGGGCCAACTGGCAAGTTTAAAACTTAGTCATGTGGCTGCAATTAACTGTAAAGGAGGCTGAGAAGTATGGTCTTAAGCTGAGCAGCCAGTTAAAACTCTCAGAAATTTTATTAGTAAAGGAAGAATGAGAAAATGAAATTATAGCAGCAGTCTGTGTCACATGATTCTGTAAATGCATAAAGAGTAAACACCAAACATGGCTGTACTTAACTGTGGAACAAGAGCAAGACAGTGTGGGGGTGGAGAGGCAGAGTATTGCTTGAACATTTTTAATAGTGATGGTATTAACATATTTAATTTTTGACAAAATTTTAAAATCCTTTATCTGTGCTGATAAAACATGTTACACACATTAAATCTGTCTACAATGTACAAAGCTTTTAAAGTTCCGAAAATTAGATTTTTATCTAAATGAATAAATTACTCTGTATCACTAAAGCCATTCTACTAAGAGCATTGTTCTCCAAGTCCCTCCACCTGGGAGGCACAATGGCAATGTGTACAGATCTCCACACTGAGACACCACCTACCCAAGGTCATGGTACATCGGTAGCAGAACCGAGACAAGAACTGGAACAAGGACCATCTTGCTCTTCCTGCATTACAGCTGTTGACAGCATCTGCTTCTTGAAGAGAAGGCTATACCCTGTCTAGCTCAACACAGTTTATGCTTCAGACAGTATAAATATGATGCCCAAATGCTTCACATGAGTGAACAAGGTCAGTATGTCACCCTGAGAACAAGGAAGACACAATTTCCTTATAGGCTAATGATTACGAAAATAGAAATTAAGAGCTCCCCAGAAACAAACCACTTAGTACAAAAGGAAGGAGTTTTGACTTCCTTCTAAGCCAAGTACTCAAGTTTACGACTTACCAGCCTGTTTAAAAATTCTTTCTATGACCTCTAAACAATGATGGCAAAGTGACAAAAACAATGTAATCATCTTCTCTCGTTACATATAAACCAAACTAAAAATAAAGAAATAAACTATAATAATTAAAAAAAAAAAAACAAAAACTAGAAACTCCTGGTGGGAATCATGTAGGACATCTGTAAGAAAGAGATTCTTTGCTTACGCAAAGTATTAGAGCAGAGAAAGCAAAACCCATGTCTTCTCATGCAGTCTGGTGAGCCTCCCCATGTCCAGACCCCTCCTCTCTGAGTCACAGGGATGAGCGGACAGATCTGGACACAGCTGTCCACATTAAGCATAAGTGAGATACAAAGAAACAGCAGGGTAGGAGGGGCAGACATACTACAGAAAAACAAGAGAGAGGAAAAAGAGCAGGCCAGAGAACACAAGCCCAAGAAACAAACTGCACTGAGGCAGTTACAGAAGAAATTCCAGAAATACAATGCATTTCAGAAAACAACACTTCAAAGATGAGATGATAAAATCATACTGAGAAGCAAACAAGAAAAACAAGGGTAAGAAAATCAACTGAGGATCAAAGCAACACCATCACAGAACCACAAACACATAAACAGTAGGGAGAAACAAACAGCCCTGGCTGGAAACCAAACCACAGAAACAGGAAAGCCGTTGCAGGGAATGCAAAGGCAGGCGCACAATGAAGGCAACTGGGGAGAAGACAGGCTGCTAGCCTGTAGACAGAGAGGCCTGGAGTGGCGTCACTTCATGGTAATGATGGCTGTGTCTGCTGTGGGCTGCAGTGATGTTTGTGTGCATGCACATGTGTGGTTTTTATGTACTTATTTTTGGCTTTAATTGATTTTTTTTTATGATAACACATTTTGTGCCTAGGAAGGAAAAAGTTGACCTTTGCTTAAAGGAAAGCCAGGATAAACTGAATACCCTAAAACTTTCCACAAATACGTGTCTCATCATTTATTATCATGCTATTTCATGCTTTACTAATAAAAATACCCACCAATTTATCAGTACCTTGAAAAGAGGATCTTTTCAAGACAATTAATATTATTAACAAACAACAGATAACAAACCTGACCTTTTTGGGTGGCAAATGATACGTTTAAACATCTAAAGGTTATGCATCAAAATAATGCTGTTATCAGACATTGATGAACTAATTTACTGAACAGGTTTGACCGAATGTAAGATCTGTTTTTAGCACCAATAAAAAAAAATTACTGAGATTTCTGTTCTGCAAACTTGTAATTATGCTCCCTCACATTTTTTGGGTAAAGGAACAAATATGCTCAAAGGAATAACTGTAAGGTCCCTGATTTTATAACATAATTCAGAATGCCAAAAAAAAAATTAATCCAAGTATTTTCTCCTTTAGTTAGCATTATTAAAACTTTCAACTTTCAGAGAAGAGTTTCTTCTTCCTTAAAGTTTTAATTCTGAGGTAGACGTCATGCAAACAAACATCAAGTGCAGCTAACTTCCGTCAAGCATGATTATTAATAATAATAATCAGAAATGCTGTTAGAAAAAGTGACTTGAAAGTTTAGGAAGCAGTATTGTTTAGCAGTATTCTGGCTTGAGTTTCCAAATTCCTTCACCACCAGAAGTTCTATGAAAAGTGCACAGATTTCTCAATAGTTCTCGGAAGACACAAGACTGTGATGCAGATAACTTGGATTCGAACTCCTGCAGTATCTCCCTAGTGCTGGCCTGGCCATCAGTGTGGGCCTGGAAAGCAATGAAGTTTCTCATCTCCACCAGAAGGTCATCGTGTTCTGTGGTGGGCAGTGGCACAGAAGCTTCCTGCAGGTGCCCACTTTCACTTTCTAAACGTTCTGGCAGAATCAGGTGGTTTCTAGCTCTCATTTTAGCCAAAAGTGAGGACGAAGCGAGGGCCCCAGATGAAGACTCTGCATCTTCTGCTCTTCCACTAAAATGCCCAGGGACATTATCTTTTCCCTCCTTTTTCATGACGCCATCCTGGAAAAAGATGACCACTGTATTGATATATTTAATTTCTAGTTTATGCCCCACTTCCTTCCCCAAAGGCTATGAGGGGTCTCAAGACAATACACATGCCAGGGTGGTAAGGTTGACCAGGTAAGACTGAGACTCCACCTAATGAAAACGAAATGGAGGAGAGTCTGGTATCTAAATCCTACCACTGTTACAGACTATTTTCTAAAAACATAAATTAATTAAAGGGAGGGCAACAAAGTCATTCCCTTAACCGCCACTGCATGGTGGTGGAAGGGAAGGCAGAGTAGTGGCTTCCAGGCACGGTTCTAGGGAAATCTGTATCTAGGAGGCCCAGGACTGTTTTCAGTGCCTGTGGGCTTTTCCTATTCTTCCTCTCAAATGGCCCCTGACCTGTACACTGTGGATAAGGAACAATATCATAGCTATACTTCTTTTTCTTCACGTTTAAGTCTTCTTACTCTTTCCTACCTTACATCTAATCCAAGTTTCCTTAAAAATCAACAACATGAATCTAACTCTGAAAGAGTCTCAAATCCCTACTGCTAAAAGCAGAGAACATGGGAAGTCAAAAAGGTACTTACTCCTAAACATGTTCGTATTAACTTAAAATTGGAGTCTGAATCTGGGAGTTTTAACATAATCCTTAATTAGAAAGACCAGAAAGACTTCCACTGAATGATGAAGTCTGGACTAGTCTTACCCACTGAAGCACTCAAGGCATGTAGGGTGTTCTTGAACAGAGAAAGACAGGCACTCTGCTCTAGCAGCTCGTGAGTTACAGACAGCAACATTCAAGGCAGTTTCTGGACCTTCATTTCAGAGGCTTGTGGTCTCTGGAGCTGGCACTTCCCCTCTAGACAAGGCAAGCTGTCTCGGCAGCAATATACCTATCCCTGTGTTAACCTTCTAATGGCAAAACAGAAATGCTGCTACGGAATTTGGGTTAAGGACTTTGTCTAGGAAATCAGTGGGTCCCCTTAGATTCAAGTGAATGTGCATTGTAAATCAGAGCACAACACAAATATCAGGTGTCATTAAATCAGAGATAACTATTTTCTTCATATTCAGAATCAGCTGAAATTTTCACAGCATCCAATCAAGCAGGTCTCACCCTGAAAAGCAGAAAGGTTATATTACCTGGCATTTCTCTGCTGGAGATTTTGATGAAGGATGCTGCACAGAGAAGTTAGAATTCCTTTTCTTACCAAATCTACTCCTAAAGAAGGAAAAGAATCACAACAGATTAAATGTTTGCTTTTGAGACTTAGAGATCAAAATACTCTTTCAACAATGAATCTCTTCCTGGAAACATTTCCAACTGCATGGTTATGCTTTCACAGCCACACCATTTCTGCTCTATCACACTGATTCTTCCACTCCACTCTCCTAGAAAGTAACTGCTGGTCCCAGCACTTTGGGAGGCCGAGGCGGGCAGATCACTCAAGGTCAGGAGCTTGAGACCAGCCTGATCAACATAGTGAAATCTCGTCTCTATTAAAAATACAAAAATTAGCCTGGCATGGTGGCGAGTGCCTGTAATCCCAGCTACTTGAGAGGCGAAAGCTACAGTGAGCTGAGATCACACCACTGCACTCTAGCCTGGGCAACAGAGCGAGACTCCATGTCCAAAAAAAGAAAAGAGAAGAAAGTAACTGCTGCATCTCAGAATGAAAACAACTCATTATCTTTGTTCAAAAGATGATGGGAATCACCTTCAATTCCAGGTAGGAAAATCATT